AAGAACGCGTGATTAAAAAAACGGGTAAATTGGCGTGCAGATTATGAATTTAAACTGTTAATTGAGAGGATGAAACAGCCGCGCGTAGTGGAATAGTCCAATAAACACTTCTATATAAAGTTATGCCGGTTTGTCGTTTTCTTATATGTAACATCTGCCTGTCTATTAATCAGCATGGTAGTAGCCAAGATGACTACCAGAAGGATGGATTTGAAACTGGCTATAATCTTGATGTTCATCTTCTGTTCAATTCATACAGTTATCGCACTTAGTTATTACCGATTCAGTAAGGTAAGATCAGGTTTACTTGACTGTTCAGTGTTAATACTGTATCATAGTATGTCACCTTATTATATTTTCAGATACTTCACCCCTTATTGTAACTGTGTAAAATTGTCTTTCTGTAGTTCTGAGGAGCAAACCACATTGCTGAAGGCTTCTGCTCCACTGCTTCTTCATTTTGTATGCATACGATTTGTGGTGCAAACCCAAACATGTGTATTTACATACACAATTAAACAATTTTATTTCATTTATCCCAACACTTTAAAGTTAATCACAAGCCCACCCCTACTTTACGTCAGATTTCACGTCAAAAGTACAGAGTAGTAGCTAACTTGACTAATAATGAAATAAACCTTTGATTTGAAATGGACATGTATATTTGCCTTTTGATTGGCCATCTCTAAAAAAAAGTTGAAACACTTTTTTATTCGCCTTTTTTTTTAGGGAATTTCCGTTTCGGGCCATAAACTTAACAGTTAAATACATTTGTTTTATTTGGATCCTTAATATAGGCTATATAAGTCCTTCATACTTTTCAGTTAGTTTGTATATCCAATGGAAATTATTAAATCATTTGTATTTAAAACCAATGCAAATTTGTTTTGGGAACTTTGCAATACTGTATTATAAAATAATTATAGTATGTCCCTTTTCAACTTTTGTAGAAATTGAGAGAAGAAGGATCAGGAATATTGCTGGAAAGTGAAAGTTCTTCACGCTCAAAGCGAGATTGTAAGTTCTTTTTGATTTAAAATATTCCTGTGTTTAATCAATATAGGGCCCTATATTTTATTTTAAATAATATATAAATATACTAA